GGGACTCCAGGATCATGACCTGAGCCGAAGGCAGTCGCTTAACAACTGAGCCACCCAGGCGCCCCCTGTGTGTGCTTCTTAACTTAGTTTCTGAAGACATCGCTGGTGTGGGGGCCATGCAACGGTTCTGCAGTCCAGGGAGGAAGCCAACACAAAGGTCTTACATCTCGGAACTTCCCCAAAGCACTCCCAGGACTAGCACAGCACTGTGAGATAGCACTTCACACCCAGTAGGATGGCTGTAATTTTTTAAAAAAGATTGAGAGAGAGAGAAAAGAAAGCAGAAAACAAGTGTTGGCAACACTGGAAGAGATCGGAACCCCTGTGCGGTGCTGGTAGAAAGACAAAACAGTACGTGGGTCGTCCTCAAAAAGTTAAACATTAGGATTCCTGTCTGACCCAGCAATCCCACTTCTAGGTATATACCCATGAGAATGGAAAGCAGGGACTCGAACAGGTATTTGTACAGCCATGTACATTATTGTGGCTCATGTCCATCGAGGGATGAATGGATAAGCAAACGTGATCCATACAGATTATGGGGTAGTATTAGCCTTAAGAAGGAAGAAATTCTGACTTGTGCTACATCACAGGTGAACTTGGAGGACATCAAGCTCGGGAAATAAACCAGTCACAAAAGCACAAGTACTATATGATTGCACTCAGATGAGGTCCTCACCGTCGTCAAACTCACAGAGACCCACAGGAGAATGGTGGGCACCAGGGCACAGGGGACGGGACAGGGAGAGTTCAGTGCACGAACGCCCTGCCTGCCCCACCCTCCTCTGACTCAAACGAAATCAGCTTTGCTCAAGATACCGACCTATACCTAAGACCGTAACTTTAAAAATGAAGATCACACAGACGTTCTCTCGTTAAAACTTTTTTCATTGCTTAACCCCCAAGTTGTGGTTTCTCTGAATTCTGAACCACCTGACCCAGGAAATAAGCAGGCTGCTCCGGGGTCCTGCCCTGACTCACAGAATCAAAATCTCAGCTTCCTGGGAAGGCTCAGGGGTTTTCTTCTTTTTTAAGGATTGTTTTTTTCTTAAGTAATCTCTACATCCAACATGGGGCTCGAACCCACAACCCTGAGATCAAGAGTCACACACTCCACTGACCAATCCAGCCAGGCACCCCCAAGTGTTTTCTTGTTATTCATTTTCCTACTGGCTCTGAAATGCACCGGTTTAGGCCATCTTACCCTAAAGCACTGAAATACTGCAAACCAGCTATGGAATGAAACGCTGGTTCTCCTTCTGAGTGCATCTTTACCCTTTCTAAAGCCCAAGGCCTCTAACTGTTCTCCAGATGGCAGGAGAAGCCCAGGTTTGCTGGCATCTGTCTACCTACTCTTGTACGCCCCTAAGCTTAGCCACTTCTAAATGTGCTCGCCTACCTGGTGAACGCCTTTCCACCCACCCAGCGTCTCTCCCAGGTAGTTCTCCCCTGACCTACTTGGAGCTGAGCTACTGTTCACATCTGCCTCCCCTGTTAGAATGTGTATGCTCTCCTAGTTTAGAAAAAACCTCCTATGCATAGATCGCATCATGGCTGGTACAGAGTGGCAACACTGTCTCATGAATGAATGAAGAAATACGGATGAGGCACAGTGGCAAGTAGGTAATATGATTTAAAAATAACCAAAATTGCATTAACTCAAATTGTTCAGTACATGTGTTCATCAAAATAAAATGTTAGTGCTGACAACCTGGAGGATTAGGTTAAGGAGTACCCTGAATGAATCAATGCATTATCAATGGTGATTTGACTAAACACTAAATATAGATTTAATAGGAAGTTACTTTTAAGCTGGCAAAGCTGATGACCTTTGAAAGCCTGAATTAAAAACGCAGTAATAACAGAAATTTACGAAGTTTAAAGGTAACAATTTTTTTTAGATTTTATTTATTTGCTAGAGAGAGAGAGAGTGACAGTACAAGCAGGGGGAGGGGCAAAGGCAGAGGGAGAAGGAGACTCCCCGCGGAGCAGGGAGCCCAATGTGGGACTCGATCCCAGGACCCTGGGATCATGACCCGAGCTTCATGAAGGCAGACGCTTAACTGACTGAGCCACCCAGGCGTCCCAGTAACAATCATTTTATAGTTAAAATACAACTACTAGATTCAGAAAAGATTATTGATCTACATAACAATAGTAGAAAAGCTGTTTTTCCCCACAAGAGACCTATTTGTCTGAAAACCAAAAATAAATTAGAAAAGCATACTGGTCACTTTAAAATTTGATATAACGAGATATTAACAAGTACGACACCAAAGGTCCTCAATTTCATTCGTCAGTATACATTAAAAAAGGTTTTGTAAATTACGGGAACATCTGAACGTATGCTAATGTAGACAAAAAAGTATGCCGAATGCCGCCCCCCACCCTGACCGCCTATTTTAGCAAGTTCCACCTCATGGCCAATCTAGCTCATCTCTACCTCCAGCCACTGCCCCTGCTCTCATCATTCTGGAAGTAAATCCCAGATGTTATCGATTCTTCCACAGTTCAGTATGTTGTACAAGAACGTTCATAGCATGTTCTTCCTAACAGCTGAAAAGTGGAAATGACCCAAATGTCCATCAGCTGAGAAAGAAACTGTGGCATCTCCGTACAACGGGGCACTGCTCAGCCAGGTAAAGGGATGGAGTACTGTCTCCAAAAACAAGGGAATGAAGCCGGCCGCAGAAGGCCCCGGGCTGTAAGATTCCAGTTAGGGACCGCGTCCAGGGCAGACGGACACGCAGACAGCACGTAGATCGTGCTCAGCTACGCCGGGTGGGAGGGACCTGCTAATGTGCACGCAGTTTCTTTGGGGAGACGAAACCATCCCGGACAGAGAGGCGGGTGAGGGCTGCCCATTCTGGGAATGTGCTGACCCGTGCCATCCTCTAAAGTGTGCATTTTACCATATGCAAATTATAGCCCAATAATGCTGTCATTTAAAAAATCAGTTTCAATCTCTAACATGTAGGGCTTATTTATTTTTTGTAAAAGGATAAAGGCAGCAAGACCAACCAGGCTGATAATGGAGGCCAGCAATCGGTGTGCGAGCCCCCGAGGTCCACAGAGACTGGGCAGGGAAGAGAGGGACACAGGAACCCTCAGGGCTCCAATCGGGAAGGTGCTAACCGCCATTCCCTGGGGCGGAGAGCCAGACAAGCAGCCGCCCCAGGAAGAGAATCCCAGAGGGCATCCGTCACAAAGGACTGGGGCCGGGGCGTCTCCAGACACCCCCACTCCCCAAGTATAACCCCCAGCGCACTGGAAAGGCACTGGAGCATTTCCACACAGAAGGAGACCCTCCCCGTCGTGTGGGAAGAGAAGCTGGCGTCAGTACCAAACCGGCCAAGGGCCTCCTCACCTGTGCCTCTCCCAGGTCATTGTTCACCACAGTGAAGTTCAGCCCAAGTTCCTCCACGTCGCCTTCGTAGCTCTTGAGAAAAAGCAGATTCTTATACACTTCGGGATCTAACGAGGCGAGATGATGGATGTCCACGTCTGCGCTGGTTCCAAGCAATTTGGACAGGAAGAAGCCAGCAAAGGGCAATTCTACCAGCATATTTTCATAGAGAGCCTTCAAATGAGAACAAGGAGCAATGATTAGCATTTCAGAGGAATTCTTTTTTCATACTGCCTACGAATAAAAAAGTCCAACTTGAGATTTAACAGAATCCTGACAGCAGATACTTCCTCTTCATAATAATGATGATGGTGGAAGCTAATATTTGGTGAGCACTTACCCTGCGCTAGGCCAGGTTAACCATACAATGCATGCGTTCAGTGTGTCGCAAATTCTGGAGCAGACTATCAGCACGTTTTAGGGCTGCCTCATAGAATGTGCATACCGATGGGGATGTTCAAGAGCCCCATCTTTTGTGCTGCAGGAGAGGTGGGCATGTGTTTTCGGTAAAGGGGTCTGCAGGTGTGTGAGTCCCCGAGAGCTGCTGTAACAAAGCAGCACACGCCGGGGGCTCAGAACAACGGAGACCTGGCGCCTCAGGGTCCTGCAGGCCGGAAGTCTAACTCCAGGTGGCAGCAGGACACACTCTCCTGAAAGACCTCCTTCTCTTCTCTGATGTTGCCGGCCATAACCCGGTGGCCCCTGGCTTTTGGCTGAGTCACTCGAAACTCTGCCTCTTCGGGGGGCTGTCTTCCCTCTGTGTGGGTGTCTCCCTGTCCTTTCTCTTACAGAGACCAGTCATTGGTTTTGGGGGCCACTCTAACCTGCTTTGACTCATATACAAAGATTCACTTCCAAATAAGGTCAGGTTCACAGGTATAGGGGATTAAGAGGGAACCTCATCTTTCTGGGGGTCACAATTCAACCCACAACGGTGGGCTGGACTGGCTTGGTGGCCACTCCTCCGCTCAGCGTTTGCAGCAGAAAAGGAACACAGTGCGGGGCCGAGTGCGGGCAGCTGTGTGTACCAGGGCTGGATTGCATGCAATTCTCAATGTTAAGAAATACTATTCTTTAGGCTGTTTCGGCCATCAGATGGAAAAAGTCCTCTTAGCACACTGGCCACACGACAACAGGGGGCAGGCCGGACCCTGCCCACAGGCTGCAGGTGGCCAGGCCCTGTTCTAGACTGAAGAGACTGGGCCTTGGGACTCACAGGCACTTGTGTGGACACGGTGAGCTAGCACGGGGCAGCGCTGGTGCCAAACCTGGATGCCCTGACGCCCGCAGGAGGACCTCCCCACTCTGAGTTACTGTCTACTTTGTGTCCAAGGGCCATGCGCCTGTCTCTTCACTCATGTACGTTAAAGGATAACTTACATAGAGCAAGACAAACGTACAGCCTGTAAGTGCAGCTTGATGCATGATTGTATTTGACTGTACTCCCCGTGCAGTGGCCACTCGGGTGAAGACACAGAACATCTCCCCTCCCCAAATTCCCCGCAAGAGCTCCCTCATGTCCTTCAGCCACAGCCTCCCTCACGTTAAGCCCCTTCTGTGGCCGTCACCACGGGTGAGCTGCCACCCCCAGGACTCCACCAATGGCACTAGACAGCGTGTGCCTCCTCACAGCATGTTTGTGAGATTCATTGATGTTACTGTCTGTTCTTTTCCATGAGGCTGTGTAGTATCTCCAGCCCTGGGCCTGATGATGGACGTGGACTTGTTTCCCATGTGAGGCTAGGATAAACAAAGCTGCTGGACCGTCAGCGTGAGCCTTTCTGTGGATCCGTGCTCACCTCTCCCAGTATAGACTTAAGACCCGCTGACAGGGGAAGCACTGGGCATGAGGTGCGCTTAGCTGTATCAGGCAACGACACGCTGTTTTCCAAAACACAACCATTTTCTGCCATGACCAGCAACACAGGAAGGATCTAGCTGGTCCAGAACCTCACTGATTATTAGTGTTGTCAGTCTTATTTTAAGTTTAGTTATTCTGGTTGGTGCAGTGGGGTATCTCACTATGGTTTTAATTTGCATTTCCCTGATGACCGGTGGTACTGGATAAATTAAGCGCTGGTGAATATTACTGTATTAATCTCCAGATTCTCCAACCAGAGAAAGGAGGGGCCGAGTGATGCAGGTGTTCTAGCATGATGTCAGGGTTCATCCTGCACGATAAATACTCCTATGGGCCTGAGGCTGTAAAGTGCAACAAGGAAGCAGAAGTGGGCTGTAAAATTTTCAGAAACGTTATTTTCTTCTAACAGACGATGGACTTGGAAGCCCCGACAAGTCTTGTCAAACTGTTCCAATGAACCTAAGCTACTATGTATTGATGCTATAGGTCTGAGCCAGGCACTGCGCTGAGCACACATCAGCTGTCTCGTTTCCATTTGGCCTGTCTGGAAGATCTCCTAAGTGGAAGGCAAGAGTCACTCTTCTACAGAAGTCTAGGGGGAATCTGGATTTCCATGCCCAAGGCCATTTTTGCTAAAGTAATTGTGGTCTGCAGAGACATAACAATGACAGGGAGAGTGGAGTCGCCACCCCCACTCGGTAGGTGGGGAGCTGGAGGCAGAGCCTCAGGCACACATTCTCACAACACTTCTCTTTTGGGGGGATGGCGGGGGAGCCCCGCTTCAGAAAGTACTCAATGAGCTGTGCTATGGATGTATTCAGAGCTTTTCTTTAAGTCACCGTTGAAAGATCCAAGTGCCACCACGCTGCTCCCGGAACACCGCCATAAAACAAACTGTAATCCCAGGGGTAGTTGTTCGGCCGTGAGACCTCGACTTCAGAAGCCCCTCTTCCAGGAGGCCATTCACCCAACCACGTCCACACACGCGAGACGTGAGACACGAGGCTCTGGTGAGACACACCTGTGCGAGCGAACACAGCAGACTAACAGCTTCCAGGGAGCAGGGGCTCCGGCCCTCCGAGCCTCCAGCCCCTGCACCACCCTTCATGTTGGGTGAACATGCCCTGCCCACGGCTCCCGGCACTGCCACAGCGTTTACTCAGCTCGGTCACATCGGATGTGTGCCACTTCCGCACAGGCAACAATTAGCGGTGGCGCTAGTCTGTAAACCACTGGTCCTTAAACACACCAAAAAGCGTACCCTCGAATGAGTGTTTCCCCTGTCCCTCCTACGCCACTGAAGAATGCTCAGGTTCACCTTGAGTGAGACCCACACTTCAAAGTCTTTCCCACTCACAGGACTGGAAGGAACCAGAAAATAGCTATCAAACGTCGTCCTGAAAGTAGCATCCAGTGTGCACTGGCTTCTTGTCTCAGGACGCCGCTGACAGACAGTATGAATTAACACTTCTTCCCAAGGTTAACATGTCTAAGGACTTCAGGTTCGCCATGTGTTAACTACGTATTTCATAATATCTCCCTTCCAGCTAAGACTCCAGATGTTCTCTGCCAGGGAAACTGAAGTGTTACGTCCCTGGGCTTTTATTTCTGATTTGAAGACTAACGATTACCCACTTAATTCTGAAAACGTGGCAAAAAAAAGACTTCTGAATGAGAGAATGAGCAATAAGATGGCGACTAGCACTTAACTCATCTACTGATAACGCAAAGAAAGAGTTGTTTTGAAAAACCACAGTTTGCTTAAAGTTAAGAATGGCTAAGACTATTAACCTGGAGCACTTAAAAATCCCATTACTTCTAAATGAATGATAGCCTCAAAGCCAAGGAGAACATTCTGCGCCAGATGCCATGATTGATTCCAGGTGTTGAAGAAAAGCCTCATTTGTACAGTGGACTTTAAAGTAAACTGGAAGTGTAAATCATGGGATGTTCAATATATAAGGTCATTGTTTGCCACTTCTGCATTAGTAACAATAAACCAGTGAAATTCGTTAAATAGATCAGAGCTACCTGAATTTTAAACAGAAGTCCCACTGTGACTCATAAAATGTAAATGCCTAGGTATAATTTTTTACATAAGGCAGGTTTAAACCTTTAGAGCATTTAATATACAAGCACTAATAAATGATAGCACTAAAAACTATGATTGCATCAGCTAAATGGATTATAAATTAAATTTCCATAATGTATGCAACTGAGATACAAATGTAAGCATAAATCAAGGTATTTTCTAAACACAGGTTAATTATACAATTTCAAAACTGCCTATTTTTTATGCAAAATAATCCACTTAGCATTTTTCACATTGGCCTTAATTTTCAGCCGGTTGCACCACACTTGTTCCAGAAGCACATCAATAACGACTTGTCACGAAAAAAATTGCAATAGGTATATGGAAAAAACCTGTAACGTATTTTTCAACTGTCTGTCTTTTATGAGTGTTTATAGCTAGAAATTGTGCCAAAATGATTTGAAATAAAAAGGATTAATTATAGTAGAAGCCTTTTAATATAAGTGAGTGCAGTCGCAATGCAATTAATGCAAATCGTGGCACTATCGGGAGAATAAATGTGAACCACATGAGAGGCCATTTCTGTTTGCTGCCAAATAACTTCAGTAATTTACTACATTAAGAATCAATAAAAAAATAATGCTTTTCAAATGCATCTCTATCAATCTTCAGGTAGTTCTAAAGCGAACATTTATAACTTAATCTAAAAACTATATCAGAGTTGTCTTGTGTTAAAGCCACCCTAATTGAGCAAAAAGATAATAATTTTAATTATTTCAGATCATGCTAACCTTGCAGTTTAAAAAAATAAGAAAGAAATGTAACATAAGGATATGGGCTGATAGTAATATGCTATTTAATAGTTGTGCCTCAACACGCATACCCACGAGTGGAAAACACAGTCTCTGACTGGGATTACAGTGGATTTTCAGGACCATAAGCTCCCACAGGGCAGAAAACACCCCTCATCCTTAACACCCAGGTCTATGTACAACATACAGCAGCCAATCATTCAAGAGGCATTTATTAAGTGCCAACTATGTGCTAGGGACTACTTTCTACACTGGAATTCTACAACCGTGAATTTCTTCACAAAAACCCATTTCTTCTGAGACACTTCAGGTTATGCAAAAACTACATGTGTCACGATTCATTTCAAACCCCTGGGTCTTCACAGTCCTCCCCCAGAGATCTTTCCACACTGCTCGCTGCTTTGGTCAACACGGCGGCAGCGACACTGAATGTCAAGGTGTTAGGAAGCAATGCCCTGAGTTCCCACGT